GCGCCGTCACCTGGGGACGATCTGGCATTGTTCAATCGCGGACTCGAGGTTTTCCAGGCTCCTCCAGCAATTTTCGCTCTCGGACGGGTCCTCCCAGTTCTCCATCGGGGCCTGGGAGTTTGCCGCTGGGTGATGCGCCTCCTGCGAGATTCCCGCTGGAGAGTCTGGGAGTCCAGAACCTGCGTCCGTTGCCATGGCGACTCCTAGGGACCCGAGGGGCTCGGGAATTGTTGGGCGGGGGGCGCGGCGGTGCGTGGAGGGTGCGGCTGGGCGGCCGTTGGAGTCGCCTCCGTGCGACTTCCACTGCCCGCCACACTCGGGGCTTCCCAACAAGGCGCTGTCTTCCTTGGACGCCCACGAGCCCGGCCAGCGCTGAAACAGCGCCACGAGCTGGACTCTGTAGTCTCACCTCCCCCAGCTCTCCGTGCCTTCTCTTCCCCGAAGGCTCTGAGCGCTGCCTGCTGCGAGGCCCGCGCACTTAGGAGTGAGGCGGGTGGATTCCTGCTGTCTTTCTACAACACTTGTAGTTCGGTGGCCCTTGCTTTCCTGGCCTCTGCCCTAGGCTGAAGGTCACCCTCAGGGGGGATGGAAAATAGTGCACCCATCTAGTAAGGATGCGCAAGCCATAATGAGCCCTGGGCTCTCAGAGCAAGGCCATCATAAGAAGGAAGCAGGAGGTCTGCTGAATTGCCTACACTTGCCACTTGACCACAGACATAAGTGTCTGTGGACAAAAAATTTATTTGCAAAGATTAAATAGGCCTACATTCCTAAAAATGAAGGTTGGAACTAAGATGTTAGGTTTTAAGCAGTACCGTGCGGTGTGTAATTCATTTTTTTTATTGTTTCTACAATAAGATAAATTTTTTAAACGGAAAACGATTGTTCAGCCTTTGTTTTATTTTTTATTTATTTTTATTGATTTCAGAGAGGAAGGGAGAGGGAGAGATAGAAACAATGATGAGAGAGAATCGTTGATTGGCTGACTCCTGCATGCTCCACTGGGGACTGAGCCACAACCCAGGCATGTGTCCCCACCGGAATCCAACTGTGACCACCTGGTTCATAGATCGAGCCCAATCACTGAACCACACAAGTGGAGCTAGTATCTTTGTTTTAAATTATGTGTCACTCACTGACAGTTAATAGGAGACATCGATCCTAATATCATCAATATATCATTGCCTGGTTTTAGAACTAAGTATACTACATTTCCATTTCAGTATATTGTCTATAGGAAAACAAAGTATTTTATTCTCTTCCTTATAATAACTATGTGAAAAAGAAGTTATTTTGATATGAGAAGCCCAAAGTAGATAAAGGAAATCATTGTAGTAGTCATCACCACTCACATTTAAATACAGAGAGAAAAAGACACAAATAGCAAACAAAAACCATAACCAATGCCTAAATAATCTTTTCTGAAGGATTATTTTCCTTTAAAGAGATGAACAGAGGAGAAGTTACTTCTACTCCACGGAAGTTTTTTATTTTTGAAATCTAACTTCTAAGCTTACTTCGGAACATTTTATTATTTAATCAGAAAATATATTTAAGCCCTAGCTGGTTTGGCTCAGTGGATAGAGTGTTGTCCTGTGAACTGAAGTGTTCCAGGTTCAATTCTGGTTTGATGCCCGGGTTGTGGGCTGGATCCCCAGTAGAGGGCGTGCAGGAGGCAGCCAATTAATAATTCTCTCTCATCATTGATGTTTCTCTCTCTCTCTCCCTCTCCCTTCCTCTCTGAAATAAATTAATAAAATATTTTTTAAAAACATTTTTAAAAAGGAAATGTATATACCTATAATACATTATTTTCTTTTTTAAAAGTATATTTTTATTGACTTCAGAGAGAAAGGAAGAGAGAGAGAGAAAGAGAGAGAGAGAGAGATCATGATGAAAGAGAATCATTGACTGGCTGCCTCCTGCATGCCTCCTACCGGGGATTTAGCCCAAAACCAAGGTATGTGCCCTGACCAGGAATCGAACAGCGATTTCCTGGTTCATAGGTCTATGCTCAACCACTGAGCACACCAGCCAGGCATTGTCTTTCCTTAAGTGCTTTTTTTATACCACAATGCAGATAAAATTTTAAATTTAAAGAGTAAAATTCCAAGTTAAAATTAAAAATCTGATCTGGTTAGAATCATGCCAAGATAGTGAAAAGACTGTGATAAGCTGTTGGCTATTTTACTAATGCAATGCTAAATGAATATTTTGAAACTGAGCAGGGAGATCTCACAGTAGATTTCATGAGTCATTGGTCAGCGCTGTGCAGTGTTTGTTGACTGGTATGGACTGCATAGTTACACCATCCCACAACAACAGGTACTGAACAAAACCTCTTTGTTTGAAACCTTGCTATAGCATATCAAGAAGGTCAGATTTCAGTGTCTAGGAGACCACGTAATAAGGATGATTGTTTTGTTTGTTGTTTAGCAAAAGTTTATTTACAGAAGTAGAAACAGTGAGCCAGTTGCGCTTTGTGGGCTCAGAAGACAAGTTACAAAGGCAAAAGAAGGGCCTTTGGAGCTTAGGAGAAAGAAAGAAAGGCAAGGAAAACATGCCATAGGGAAGGAGAGGGGGGAAAGTGCAGGGAGGGAGGGAGAGAGAGAGAGAGAGAGAGAGAGAGAGAGAGAGAGACTACATTAATTAGGGCACTTCGTTGTGCTGAGCAACAGAGCACAGCTGATTTGGTTACCTTATATGAGAACATTGTATAGTGACATAGAGAGGAGGCAGGGGGCGGGGAAAGAGGGGGGAGGCAGGGCATACCTGTTTTTGAAAGTATTATCTCCATAATTCTTCTCTTCTTATCAGTTACCTACATTTATTGCTCAGGTATATCCCTTATAAAATTGTTCATTTCAGATCATATTGTCAACTATAAAAAGTGGGGTTGGCATTGCCAAAGCATTTGTCAGAGTAAATCCAAGCTTCTTGTATGACATGTTGAATAAATTGGTAGTTTTTAGTGGTAGCTTCATGAGCTTTGGAGTTAATATTTTTAAAAAACCACAACAGGCTTTGAAACTTACTTGCTCTAGAACAGCAATTTTCAACCTTTTTCATCTCATGGCACATATAAACTAATTACTAAAATTCTGCGCCACACTAAAAAAATATATTTTTTGTCAATCTGACAAAAAACTAGGTATAATTTTGATTCATTCACACTGGATGGCTATTGTTGGCTGTTGCCATTTTTTTATTTGACAAACGAAGGATAAACAGGTCAGAGCCCTGACTAAATAGTCAGGTATTGCATGTTTTAAAAATTCTGGTGGCACACCAGTTGAAAATCGCTGCTTTAGAACTTTGGGCTAACATCTCTGAGCTTCTCTTTTCTCACCAGTAAAAACTGGACAATGAACCTTTCAGGGTGGTTGGGAGGAGTACTCTATACTGTGAGAAAAGCACGCAGCATACTGGGAGACAAATACTAACCAGGCCTTCAAGGACCGTGTTCCTCCCTTCTAAACCTCAACTAAGGAATACATTGTTGGAAATTTTCTATTTTTAAAATTTTGAATATTTCAGAAGCTAAAATATTTTTTACTGGGTAAATTAATAGGACTTAGAGCACAATTTTAAAATTTCAAATGCTTCTCTGAAACACACACGCATGTATATATAATGTGTGTTTATATGAAAATATCACCTACCAATTATTAAAAATGATAACATCTTAGAGTAAATAGCATGAAGATTTGATTAAGAGTCAAGTGGTGACTCTAAACATAGTAATTTATATAGTCCAGTTGGACATTATCAGTTCTATAGTCTAATAAAAGCCAAGAGGTTTCAGTTTAGGTTTGTAATTTAAATTCTTTTTAGAGTCATCATATGTAAAGTGCTTATTTTTCTTTTATCACCAGCTGTAATCTATGATTATGTGGTGCAGGCTCTGTTATGTAAACTTGTTTTAGGTCATACTTTATCCATAACCAACGTTCTTAAATAAAGGGTTGGGCAAGGAGATAGCAAGGCCCTTAGCCAGGGCAATATTACATTACTAAATCCTTTATGGAAAAACTCCTGAGATTAGATCATTTTAATGTCTTACATTTTGCTGCAATGAGATTACATATCCATTCTTGTAAAAAAAAAAAAAAAAAAAAGAAAAGTCCACCTACAAGTGTTTGTCACTTGGCTAAAGCTGAAAATCAATATAAGCTCAACAAGGAATTTGGTCAGGAGCACCCTTGATATACTAGTAGAATTTGGGTCTTACTGCCAAAAGTCTTTGCATGCTGTAAAAGGGGGTTTTATCTATTTGGAATTAAATTTTAGATCTTTAAAAGGGAGATAGTAAAAATGGGAAGAAAATGGTACAGCTTAGCTATATGCAGAAGTGAGTCCACCCAAGGAAGACTTGTGAACCTGCTGCTGAGGGAAATTTGGAACCTTTCCAGGTCTGTTCAAGTGACTGGAGTGGATCTTCCTGCACGGAATATGACCTAGGAAATCTGTAACACATACATTTCAGTGCATAGGGAGGTGGCTCAGGAAAAATACAGCCCTGACAGTAATAGAAGGGCAATTACCATATTTCATGCAATCTAAGATTTCATTCAATAATGTTAAAAAGTGAATCTTACAATCAGTGAAATAAGGTAGATAATAAGAATTAATCAACCCTGACCGGTTTTGCTCAGTGGATAGAGCGTCGGCCTGTGGACTGGAGGGTCCCGGGTTTGATTCCAGTTGGGGGCATGTGCCTTGGTTGCGGGCACATCCCCGGTGGGGGGTGTGCGGGAGGCAGCTGATCGATGTTTCTTTCTCATTGATGTTTCTAGCTCTCTATCCCTCTTCCTTCCTCTCTGTAAAAAATCAATAAAATATATTTTTTAAAAAAGAATTAATCAGCCCTGGCCAGTGTGGTTGGTTAGATATTGTCCTATGCCCTGAAAGGTTGCTGGTTCGATTCCCTTCAGGGCACATACCCTGGGTTTGGGGCTTGATCCCCAATTAGGGTGTGTATGGGAGGCAACCAATTGATGTTTCTCTCTCTCATATTCTCAGGTGAGGGTGACAAATAAAACATTAAAAAAAAAGAACTTATCAGACAAAAACCTTTTCAGGGGGTTTCCATTTCATCAGACCACAGAGATGTCTCAAGTTTTTCCATAACTTGCACAAAGTGCTCACATAGGGCCATCTGGTTCTCTTTGTTCTTTTTCCAGTGTCACAAAGCA